GTGAACTACGGGACTATGTGATCATATGAAAAGAAGCTATGTGATACGTGATATGTGAAAGTGAATTACAAGTTTATGTGAATATTTGAAATGAAATAAATGATAACGCCCATGTTATGTGTCATGAGAGCTAGGGGTATAGTTGGCATGCCAAGAGTCGAGGGTCTATTCGGTTCTTTAGGACATATGTATATTCTTTGGAACATGTGTGAAGTCTCGAAAGACACATACTTGATCCCTAGCATATGTATATGATTCTTAAGGAATTCTACGTGGTCCTTATGGACATCATTATATGGCACTACGGTGCAATTCTACGGGCACTTCGGTGCAATTCTACGGGCACTTCGGTGCATTTATACGAGCTGTGGTGACAGCATAGTGCACAACCTCTATAGACTCACATATCGATAGTTCTCACATATATACATGGGCTAATCCAGAAATATGAACAAATATAAGTTAGTGGTATGATAAATGCTATAGAAATGATATGATGTTGTGTGTGTATAGTGTTTGATTGAAATAGTATGTGATTATATGATAAACTGTTAATGATGAACTATGTGTATGCATGTATTTACTGCAATTAATCTTATATGATTTTATACGATATGAAAAATGCATGAAGTTGCTGTAACATGATAGAACAGAACATGCATGTATCAATATAGGTTTTAAAGTGCATTAAGTTGTTATGCCTCACTAAGTCTTCGACTTAGCGTGTGATTGTTTCACACGTAGGTTTCGAGAAGAGTAAGGAGAGATGCGGAGCAAGACAGGTCAGTTTTCCTTACCAAAAGATCAGATCAGAAATATTTGACAAAGTATGTTTTTGGTTATGTATAAAGTGTTGGCATGTAATAAGTCATTAAGTACGAGCACTATGATAAAGTCTGTATTTTGTTTTAAATAAAGTTTTAAATTTCCCAGGATTTTTCTTAAGAGTCAAGGTTTGAAAAGTCAATGTGACACTTCGGACTCGTATCCGGGTCGGATACGGGTTGGGGGTGTTACAGTAATAATTATGATCGTACGTCTGACATCAACATTAGGAATTAATTAAAAATCTCTCGACCAAGACCAAGAGAAAGTATTAAAAAAGAATCTTTATCGGATCAATACGAAGTAGAAAATTTAAAATCTCCCATTAATAATCTTAAGATATCATGTATATCATACTAACTACGTTATTTAACAGGTTATTTAACAGATTATCATATCAATGATCCTTAAAAATTTGATCTTTCTGTGTTGTCTCTGGCTTTTTTCGATGCTTCCTTTCTGTACCAAAACTTAATTAACAGGTTATTTAACAATATTATTTAATATTATTTCCGAATCAAATAAAGAAATAATAATAAATAAAATATTATATCAAAAGAATATGAATTTATTCTTTTAAATTGGAATGATAAATAACCTTTTAAAATATAATTTAAAATAATCTCATTATCTTAAATTATTATTGAGAGTAAAAACCACAACAATTCTTATTCATTCTCAATGTGTGACTCTATATGTTCAATTAATGTTGGTAATAGATAAAATCACATTTGATCCTACAAGTCATAAGTGATCTCTAACAATATATTATGACTACCCAAGTTAAAGCTACCTTAACACAACTTATGTCATAATCTTTTATCTCACGATGTCTTAAAAGAAAATAACGTATGGAAAATAGAAACCATATGTCGTTCTATCTTTAGTTTCTCGATACCCAATTGAATTGACTAAACAAACAACATTGATCTCTATCAACTCATCTGAATACGACCATTCATTTTGCATTCTCAATCATTGAGGGGGCTTGAGATATCTCTCTTATGATAATGAGAGATAAATTTTATTTTAATCACTAACATCTCACTACATGATTCTTGTCATGTTCAAGCATAACCTTTATAATTGTTCGCTTAAAGGCAACATTTCATTATGTCAAACCATAATAATCGTTATGTTGATAATTATAGTAATTTCAGGTTTAAGGATTTAATGACATCCAAACTAGAAGAGGTGAACCGTCTATGACTAATATAATCCATTTGTTCCTATCAACAAAATCAAATTAAAATATCAGTCTGACCCAAAAAAAAATGAACTATCTAATTTAACAAAATAAAATTACATAATAAAATCAAGAGTTACTTGCATCACATGTATTTAAAGTATGACCCTTATTTTAAATTGGTTCCTTAACTTTTAAATGTTTCAATTTCATTCTTAAACTTTGACATTCATTCTAAATTTTCCCCAAACCTTTTGAACATTCCAATTCTATCCTAAATTATACGTATATACTAATTACAACCCTTGTAATAAAATCGTTATGTCATGTTATATTATTATATGTTTGAAAAAAATAATTTTTAGGTTAAACTCTGGTTGAAACTAATTACATATTTGGATGAATTTGAGGATGAAATTAGAATATTTAAAAGTTTAGGGACCAATTTAGAAAGAGGGATATAGTATAGGGATGGAATTAGAATATCAAAGAGTTTAAGAACTAATTTAAAATGAGAGCATAGTTTGGGGATGAAATTGAAATATTTAAAAGTTCAAAGGCTAATTTAAAATGAAATTTATAATTTGAAACATATGATACAATTAACTCTTAAATCAAACATTAAAATTAAATTCAAATACTAAAATATATATTTATCCTTAATTTTTTTCATACATTTTAATTCCTCCATTACTCAAATCGTAAATGATATCCATTTACGCAGCGCAAAAATCATATTTATAAATAGGGTAAAATACATAATGGTCCATTAACTATAAGATAATGCTTTATCGAGACATTTGATTATTAAAAATTACAAAATATCTGACTATAGGAAGTTACTTTGTTGAGTCCCTCGATTATTAAAAATTATAAAATGATCACCTCACTATTCATTATATTTCAAACTTTTCCTTTTCGTTAAAAAAATTATCGACAGTCTGAACTAGACGTTAACCTGCCAACTGAGATATAATAAAATTTGATCTCATAATCTCAAATGACTATCATGTCACAGTCAACGTGTTAACATCCAACTCAGGCGACCGTTATTTTTTTAACCGAAAAGAATGTGTTTGGAACATAATGAATAGTCGGGTGACCATTTTATAACTTTTACTAGTTGAGGGACTCAACAAAGCAACTCCCAGTTGGGGATCATCTTATAATTTTTAATAGACGGAAGACTCAACAAAGCAATATCTTATAGTCAGAAACCATTCGTGTATTTTAACCTTATAAATAATAGTTAAACGTTATTGTCCGAATAACATGAGATTTTCATATTTTTAGAAATGATAAACATTGTCCGAAAAGAACACATTGCTCAAGATTTCGACATTTTAATAAATAGCCAAACCGTTGTCCAAAATTCCACAATATTAGGTAAAAACCATACTAAATTTGGAATTGGTAAACAAGTATACAAGCTCTCCCCGATCTCTTCTCTCCAACACAAGCGCAAACAGGGATTCAATGATAGTATCAAATTGGGTTTCCCTTCTTTAAAACAAAACATCATAATTTGATACTAATCTTTGAGTCAGCAAAATCATAACCTTTTTTCTGGGAAAACAAACACAGAGAGCAGAAGCAAACGAGCATGGAGAGGGAGAAGATGACGATGATGACACTATGGATATGCGCATTGTTGGTCAGCTCAACGCTGGTTGACGACGCCGAGGCTATCAAACTAAAAGCCATTAGCTACAAAGAACTGGGGAAAACACTGAGGGAGGGCTGTCAAAATCAGGGACGTGTGGTGTTCCGAGAGTGAGTAATACCCATGGCAGAAATGCAGACTGTAACAGAAACTTGAGGTGTGGACTCGGATGGTGACGCCGTGGTATTAAATTGCGGTTGCGGTCACCGTCCAGTCACGGCTGTGGATGCCGTCGACGTTACGACGTGAATTATTTCTTAAAATCAAGGACAATACGAAAATTTCAATGCGCTGACCCAACAAAAGTCCATCCTTTTCATGTATTCTATTATCAAATCAATAAACAATCCTTGTTGTTCTTAACCCTTTGGTCCTACAATTACGTGTGTCACTAAGAATCTTATGTACTTATTATTATCTTACTAGACATGTGATATAAGATGTGAATACTATCAAGTTATAATACAATATATTTATTTTGAAGAATTTAATAGAAATAAGGATTGATTTTGTTTGATTGGTGTTGTCATTGATATGTTACATAGAGAAATCATACATGCTTAGATTTTCTTAATAGAAATAAGATAATATTAAGTTTTATCAATATGAAATATAATTTTTTTAAAAAAAAAGTAAGACGTACTCGTAGTTTTAAAAGGCGTAAGGCGCACCCATACAAAAGGGTCCTGGAACATAGGAGCAAGACTTAGGAAGAAAGAACAAAATATTTTTTGGTCAAAATATATATTTAAAGTTATTTTTTTTTATCAAAATAGTATCTAAAGTATTTTTTTGACAAAATAAATACTAAAGTATTCAATTTTTTATCTAACTACCTAAAGTATTTTAAATAATGTCTCGTGTCAACTTTTTTAGAACTTAGATGAAAAAGACTGGATACTTTAGTAACATATCTTGACCAAATATATTATACCTATTTTGACCAAAAAGATAACTTTAGACATTTACTTTGACCAAAAAAATACTTTAGATACTTAAATGAAAACAATGATATATTTTATATACTTGTTTGTAATATAAGCCAAAAATTTAATACGATCAAACTTCAAGATTTTGCAACCTTCTAAAATTAGTAATTTCAAATGCAAAGCAAAAGAAAGTGTAAAAATAAAATATAACATTAAATATGATTTTAATTAAATAATCAAGTGATCAAAACAGAAACGTGAGAATAGTTGGGTGACCAAATAGAGAGTTTACCCTAATTTTTAGGTAGGTGATCATTTTGTGATCTTTCATACTTGGAGGACTATTTAAGCATTATACCTAATTAATAATAACCTATAAAAATTAATTAATAAATGAATTTATTCTCAACTCAATGGCGACTCAGCTTCACCACTTTCTTCTGCTTCCATCTCCACCTCTCACTTCACTACCTCTTCTCAACCTTAACAAATCCTTAGCGATTACCTCCACCACTAACAACATACTACGCTGCAATTCCACTGGTTTCCCTCGCACAGATGGACGGTCCAGATTCGATCCTCAAAACTCCAACGACGAAGACGATGAGGATGAGTTCGAGTTCTCCAGCGGAGCGAAGCAGAGGATATGGTGGTCTGATTTCGATGATTACGATGATGTCTGGGAATTAGATGAGGATGATGAATTCTGGGTTTTTAAGGTAACTGATTTTATTTTCTATAATTAAGCTTTTTTTATTTGAGGATGATGAATTCTGGGTTTTTAAGGTAACTGATTTTATTTTCTATAATTAAGCTTTTTTTGGGTTGCTGATAAAATAAATTATTTGGGTCAATATTTTGGTGTTGGGGAATGATGTGAATTTGGGAAGCATTTGATTGAGAGAAAAAAACTAGGGTTTAGCCTTGAGGAAAGCATGAATTATTGGTTAGAAGATAGTGGAGTTGCTTTGCCATACTTTTAATTCTATGCTTCTGACGATTCTACACTAATTGAAAGTTATCTTAGAAGGGGGCTGCAAAAATAAGATTTTTCTAATTGTTGCAAAAACAATTTGGGGGAGTTATGGGAAATGGTGATATTCTTGCATGGTTATGTGTCTGTCTCCATAGCATACATGTAATGGATGTAGTTTATGAAGAAAAAGCTCACCGATTTTGCATCATCGGTGGTAGTAGGACTATAAATGAGACGAGTCGAAATCGAGTATTGTTAAGCTTGATTTGACTTGAAAAGATCAAAGCTGAGTTCAACCCGATTCGAAAGCTCTGAGCTTAAACTTGTCATGTTCGACTCAAACTCAAAATAAAAAATTGAAACTTGACTAAAGCTCGAAAAAACTTGAACTCGAAACATTCTCAGACTTAGTTCAAGTTCGAACTCGAACTCGGTTCAAGCTTGAACTTAAACCTTAAGTACATGAAAATCTTATAATGCAATTTTTTAAGAACAATAAATGAATGTTAATATTATTAATAGGGCTTAATACCCGAATAAGTGCCCAAACTATATCCTTTTTCCCGAATAGGTGCCTACAATATTTTTTTGCCGATGCAGGTGCCTAACATTACAAACGTTACCACTTAGGTGTCCGAGCCATCAACGGTGTTAATTTCTCTGTTAAGTGACACGTGTCACAATATTATAATTTTAGATTTTTTTTAAATTAAAAAAATTATATATTTTTTAAAAAAGAAAACATATAAATTTTGAAATAACCTCAAAACTTTGAAAACCTTCATTTCAACCCTTAAACCCACGTCGCCCGTAGCCCTTTGCCGTCGACAAAGCTCAACCCGACATCACCTCCCACTGGTGACCATAACCCCTATGAAATCGTGATCGATCGACTGTCGATCGATGTCGAATCAACGTTTCAAACCCCGCATACTCTAGGATGAAAATCACGATCTCACGCGATCTCGATGACCAATCGGCGACAACTACGATGACATATAACTACGATGATGGCATAGACTACGTTGGCGGCGGTGGTCGTGGCTGAAAAAGGCCGCGACGGGGGGTTAGTGTTAGGATTTGGGGATTTTGAGGGTTTTTTGTAATTTAAAAGAATATAGGTTTTTAAAAAATATAATAATATTTTTTAAAAATATATAAATTTTAAAATTACCATATTGTGACACGTGTCGCTTAACAGAGAAAATTAATAGCCGTTACGTCCCGGACACCTAAATTGGTCACATTTGTAACGTTAGGCACCTGGGTGGGCCAAAAAGTATTGTATGTACCAATTTGGGTAAAAGATATAGTTTGGGCACTTATTTGGGGATTAAGCCTATTAATAATTTAATTTAAGAAGTTAAAATTTAATTATTATTATTTTTCGAGTTGCTACGAGTTTTTTGAGTCGGGTATTATGTAGCTCACTTCAGCTCATTAAGAACTCGAGTCGAGTCCATTCGAATCAAATTTTGACCGAGTAGAACTCGAGTAGCTTATGATCTGTCTGTCTCATTTATAGCCCCAATCGGTAGTATCACATCGCAAACTTATGTCACTCGGATTTGCGTGAGTGTCGGATAAGGGTATAATTGGACTCCTTTTAAGGTTTTCCATGTATTTGGAGGTCATATCCTAATATTTATGTGTCGGACATGAGTGCCAGGCAATGGCTTCTTTAAGAAAAGAAAGCTCGAGCAACATGGTGCAAACACTGGTCACATAGTAGTGAATTTTAGGGCTGTTTATAATAACCAATTAAACTATATTGTCCAGCCAAAAATGTAAGAATAAAAAAGAACCTCTGATGTTTTTGTACTTGGGGGAAAAAGAAGCATTGATGCACATGAACAATGAAAGAAGGAAACTATGATGAGAAATCCCAATAATTTCTGATGTATTTGAAGTAGTTAAAACTTAAAAGTATAAGAATAGTTGTATTAGGCATATTGTTTAATTCATTATAAAGTTTAGGTTTCGTTTGTTTACATATCACATTTTCTTCATGATATGATGTGGATTTGGGTTTCACTCTTTCAGATGAATATGGTAAGGTACTTAAAGATTTCTACATACAGGTATTTAGAGCTTTTGGCTGGATGTTACCAGCCATTGCCATATCATTGCTGCTTGGAACCGGACCAAATGCTTTTATCATGGCATTAGCTGTCCCTCTGGGGCAGTCAGCACTTTCACTTGTGTTTGACAAGGTTTCGGGAAGGACAAGTAAGAGTTGGAAATCCACCCCCAGGCGTAGGACCAAGAAGAAACAATTTACAAGGGCTGCTGCAAATAACACAAGAACAAACAAAGGAAAACGAGAGTCGAATAAGAATGGTGAAGAGAAGACAAGTTATAACTCGTGGTTGAATTCAGATGGTGGTTTACGTGATAAGGGTGGTCAGAGAGTCCCAAAGTATGGCGGATGGGATCAATTGGATGATCAAGTGGAGACCCAAAAGAGGGGAACAAGTCAAAAGGGGAGTGGAGTACCGAAGCAACGAAAGGAGGGTAAATTTAGTAGGATAGGGAGAGTCAGAGACACACCGTTGCTGCTCAGGTTGTTGATTGCCGTTTTTCCATTCTTGGGATCTTGGACTAGGTTCCTGTTTTGATTTTTCTACTGCCGGAAATTATGAACTTTACATTGCTGCCGCTTAGGAGTGCTCGTCCATGCTGGACATCAAAAGAAGCCATTGCAATGGTGCTATCAACCAAGTGCCAGCTTGGTGCTGAAAGTAACCTGCGAAAGAAAAAGGTAAATAATTTGGTAATGTCTTCCCATAGCATTTTGAGTTTGCATCTTTGTTTGTGGCCAATTCAAAGCTTGTGTGACCTTATAAACTGCATACCAGTGGGGTAAGAGTGGAGGAAGTGAGCAGGGATAGATAGGAGGAGAAATTGAAATATAATCGTAGGCAGTCTCGTATCGATGAATGGACTACGATCTTTGTCGAACCCCATACCACTGCATTCCTGGATATATCCTTGTTCATCTGTTCGAATGTGATAAAATCTTAGTAGATTACAATTGATATTTATATGCATTGCTAGCCAAAGAAACTGCCTCTTCTTCCGTGACCCCTATATAACTGATCGATTTGCATCCTATGCCTCCCGTGATCCTTGGCACGAAATCTGTATGCTTCTGCTACGGTGAACTTACGGTCGTATACCATCTTCATCTGCATATGTTGTTGTTTCTCATAGAACCACAGATGGTGGCCTAATGGCCGCAATATGCAGCAAAGTAGCTTGATTGAAGTATCTTTCCAATAAACTTCCCCTTGCCATTTTCCATTTTCCATTTTCCGAACAAGCACTTTCCATAGCAGGATCATAGTTAGTACAGTGATTCTTAAAGGTCCAATTCTACGGTCCATATATCTTCCAGTGCTTTGTCCTTTCACAATGGACCAACAAATTCAAAAGGGCATTTTCTACTGAATCGTGGATGTTTAGAGGTTATAGGTTCAAGCACCAGCGACTGTAAATGTGATTGGACGTTCATTGTCAAATGGTTGAGGGTACTTATATATTATTTTGTAGTCATCTTAATTTAATAAAAAAATTAGTTAAAATAAACTCATTGAGTGACCTAAGTAGTTAAAAGAAGCGTTGTTCTCTCATGAGATCCTTGGTTCAAGCATTTGCGTTTGTAGGTGTGTGCGTATTGTTAATGGTTAAAAAAGATTATGATTAGATGATACTTTTTATAATCACCCTTAGACTATTAAAAAATTATTTAAGGCTTCTAATCAAGAAATATATATATATGTAGTGAAGGTTTGCATCATTTATAAAAAGAAATATGAAATCGATTTATTTTAGGGAAAAAAAGTACTCACTAATTGTTTATCGAGAGTGAAGGTTAAGGAACTCTAAAAACAAAATGCTAAATAATGATTCTTAGTGTCTATGATTTTGAATAATATAACAAAACAAAAACTCGGTACGTAGCTATCAAGCTATATTAACATAATTTTAAATAATAAATGTCAATATTCTAAACGTATTTTTTATAATTATTTTGGATTATTTTATAGAATGACAATAAGACCAGCGCTGTTGTATGGATCAGAATGTTGGGCAACCAAGAAGGATCACGTAAGGAGGATTGAGGCCGCAGAAATGAGAATGCTTCGATGGACATGTGGTAAGACTCTGAAGGATATGACGACAAACTCTGCTATTAGGATGTCCTTGGGGGTGGTGTCTGTTTCCGAAAAATTGAGGGAGGGAAGACTACGGTGGTTTGGGCATGTCCTTAGGCGACTACCGTCGGATGCGGTAAGGAGGGTAGAGTCGATTACAGTCGACGGTGCCAGAAGGAAAGGACGACCAAGGCGAAAGTGGGAAGACTGCTTGAGATCTGATTTGAGGGATTTAGCCCTTACCGAAGACATGACCTCTGATAGGAAAATATGGAGGCTAAAGACTAGGGTAGTCGAGTAGTGTGGGTCACATCTATAGGGTGTATCACCTCTGTCTTCTTTTAATGTCTTTGTAGTATTTTTCATGACTTATACTTTTTATACGTTTCTGTTATTGGTATTTATGAAGGATTAGAACTGGGCTTGCTAACGTTTACTTCTGTGTACCATTCTCTTCATGTTTCCTCTTTTAAATTTAGCCGGATCTTATCTTATGTTTATGTCTATATGCAGAGATTCTTTCGCAGGGATAATTATGCAGGGATTAATTCCCGTTACAGACGCACATTTGATTTTAATGACTGCATATGAATACTGTTTAGCTATGTATTTATTTATACATGCATTGCATTTTATCTAAATTTTTAATTTTCTGACTGCCGGAGGTCTTCCACGGAAGTTACTCTCAACCTGGCGTTGGGGGTAGCCTACTACCCTACCTCCCCCTTACCCCATACATATGGGAATTGGGTTTTGTTGTTGTTGTTGTTGTTGTTGTTTATTAATAAAACAAATTTTAAAATAAACTATTTAAGATGTCCATAATAAGAATAAATAAAATGTAAAAAAACAAAAAAAAAAAGTTGAGAGGACAAATGGAAAGAAACTATTATTAAAAAAAGAAGCAAGTAAAATAACAATAAAAAATAGATAAGAAAATAAGGAACTATAATTTTTTATTATTTTCTTAAATATGGATTGTCAAACTTTATACTTATAAACCAAAAGCCCAAAGTTCTAATTATGATGCACATCAATAAATAATATATATCTATATCACTGTCACTTACAGGGTTAATAAAAATAACATGTCTCGTTAAAATTTTATTAAGAGAAAAATTATATAAAAGAAAGTTATTATCGAGGGTTAATAAAAATAACATGTCTCGTTAAAATTTTATTAAGATAAAAATTATATAAAAGAAAGTTCTTGTCAAAGAAAAAAAGAGTATATATATATATATCTCGTGTAATACTTTGTCTCATTGAAAATCTTACTAGGAAAACTCAATTAGATAAAATAACGATTAAAAGATAAAGAGTACAATGTACAACATCATATAATTTGAGAGTCTTCACAATTCAATAAGTAAGCATAAACATCAATTTCTCATAGAATGCTTGTGTAAATACTTGTTTTAAACACGTTCGACTTGCACATTTATTTTTTAAGATAAAATTCGTATAATATTTTTTTCATATTTTAGCACCTCTTTTATTTTAGCTCAATCTTTAAAAGTTCTAATCAATTTTTGTCACATCGGTACAAGATGATAAATACGAAAACCTCTTCCAACGTCACTTATTTTTACGCGAAAAAAATCACAATCTAAAAGAAAATTTTAAACAAAAATTATTTTTGTTGTTAACTTTTTAAAATAAAATTTGAGTAAAAATGCCTCATATATGTATAGCAAGTCAAATGAGAGAGATTTTGTAATAGATTTATCTGGTTGTAGTTTGTTAAAGCAATAAAATAGCATATTTATTTTTAAAAAATATATAATTTTTTTGAAGCTATTTAATTTTTCTAAAATTATTATTTAAAATATTAAAATAAATAAATAAAATATTATTTACTAATTTAATATATCATATCATTAATTCAACAAATCATGATAACACTCCTGTAATTAAATTAAAATTTTAATAATAATTATATAACTTCTAAATTTTATTAAGGCTTAGCAGGAAAAAATTTGCACAAACTATACATTTTTTTAACTTTAGGTGTCTATTTTTTTTTCTCAAATCAAGTGTCCAATGTTTATGAAGTTATTCTTTTAAATGTCCGTGTCGTAATTGTTGTTAAAAAATTTATTATCCGACATGATACGTGTTTATATTTTTAAAAGATTTTATTTTAAAAAATTAAACTATTATTTTTATTATTTTTTTAAAAATCTCCCTCCCTCTCTCCGAGGCGTAAACTTCTTTTGTCCCCCTCCCTTCCAAGTATTACCCTAATTTTCTTCTCTTTTTGTCTTCCTCCATCCTATGCGCTACCCTAATTTTCCTTCTCCCTCTGCCCCCCTATCTCCCAGGCGTTTCCCTAATTTTCCCTCTCTCCTAAGTGCTACTTTAATTCTCCTTCCCCTTTCATCTACCTCACTTTCAGGTACAAAGTGTGTCCCTCCCTTCTCCTTATCCCTAACTAAATCTCTCACTCATTAAATTTAAAGTTAGAGATTTATGATCCCTCACCCATTAATTTTGGGGTTAAAAATTTAGGAGTTTAAGATAATGGCAAAAACAATAGCCAGTTAGTGGGTGGGCAGCGACAGAAGTGGTGACTGAAAATGATTGATGTCGATCGAAAATATTGTTTGAAATTAGAGACTTTAAGATTTTTAATTTTTTTTTATAATTTTAAAGAAATTTAGGTGTTTCCTTAAGAATTAATAATATTTTTAAGTTTTTCAAAAGAATTTTTTTTAAAAAAAATATAAACGTGACAAATGTTAAAGAACAATATTCTTTAATGGTCGTTATAACGTAAAGACTTAAAAAAACGTTGAAAACGTTAAACAATTACTTTGAATGAAAATTTTTTACCAACTAAAATTAGGTTAAACTATAATTTAATTATAATAATTTAATTATTTTACCTTTTTTACACCAAAATGAACAGTATAAATAAAACACATTCCCTCCCTTTTCACACTGTCCGCTCCTCTCCTCCGCCATTACTACCAAAAGCAACTGCCAACTCCACAATTCTCTTCCTCTGATCCGCTCGCTCCTTTCTTCTTCTCCTTACCCGATCACATCTCTCTTCAAACTCGCCCGATCCCGCAGCCGATTCTGCTCGTTTCCACCTTCGCCTACTCGGAGATCTTCGAATTCAATGGCGATCCTTCCAAAGTCCTCCGTTGACGTTATCCCCACCGATGACCGTCTAGCGAAAAGGTTTTGGATCAAGTTTCGTAGAGAATCCATGCTTTCTCTTTACTCGCCTTTCGCTCTTTCTTTGGCTTCCGGGTCTCTCAAGATCGACACTTTTCGTCATTATATTGCCGAAGATGTACACTTTCTCAAAGCCTTTGCTCGTGCGTGAGTCTCTTTTTTATTTCTCTTTTTTTGGTCTTTTTGATGGAATTTTCAGTTTGGGTCTTGTTTGTTTTGTAGAATGAATTTTTGGGTTTGGATGCATTTTTTTCTTTTCTGTTTGATTTATTTGCTTGTTTGGTAGTACTGTACAGTATATGCTAAGATGAGATGTAAGGGATTTGAAATCTCAAATGGAGATGTACTTTTTGCCTATGTTTAGCTTCAATGAATTTAAGTTTAAAGAAAATTGAAGAATCGACATAAACCCCTTGTGTTATTGAATTGGCGCATGCCTTACATCCTTGTTGATATTCTGTTTAAGGGAAATGATAATGGTTTTTGCATCGTCTTGTTGAGTTGAAGAGAGTGGGAATTTTAGATTTTCATTTTATGAAACTCTGCTGATGATTGAGAGTTGATTTTCTATTATAAGATTGAAACTAGCTAGCTACAACCCCTTCCTAGTTTTGGTTGCTGAGAAAGTTTAGGAAAAGAAGATGAATGGAACTTTAATTTCTAAGCACCACTTGGTTGCTCAAGTAATTCTTCAGATGTTTATTTTATTTTCTGTGTCAGCTTTCGCAGCAACTAATTGGAGGGTTATATTGTTATTATTTGGAGAAAATTAATTACATTGCTTGAGGTGGGTCAGTTCCCAGAATTTAAATTGACATGCAGTGCCTGATGAAACGGAATATCTTTGCGCTCTTAGCTAGTTTTATTTAGAATTGCCTTCTGCTGTTTATACGTAGGCCCAGGTCCTTAGTTGATTTCTTGTTTTCTTCAATCTGGGTTGTAGATATGAATTGGCAGAAAACTGTGCTGATGACGATGATGCAAAATTAGCTATCTCTGAGTTAAGGAAGGGTGTCTTACAGGAGCTAAAAATGCATAATTCTTTTGTACAGGTATGTAAATATGGTTCTTTTCTGTTTCTTACCACATTCTCAATTATTAGAAAAAGTTCAGATGAAAAAAGGAAATTGAATCTTGCTTTCTATTGTCATTGCTTGTATATTTATTAGACATTAGCACCGACTATTAGGTATATTGGTCTCATGGAGATTCAACCATAGGTCATTCTGGCATATGAATTCGTCTCCAATAGATTTTAATCCTGTCTTTTTATATATTTATTGGATATCATTATCCCTTTGATTCTTCTTTCTGATCATATAGATGGCTGTCCCATGAAATATCCAGTCCTCTTCCTGGTGACAAATTTTTGATTGGATGAGGGTTAGATTTTGATATTTTAATTCCACTAACTCACCAGTTAAAGAAATAAAGAGATTTGAGTAAATAATCATACTTTTTTATCGAGTAAATTCTATCTGCCTTGTTATGCAATTTACAATACAATAAAGCTTCTTTTTCACTCTAAGATAGGTATTTATTATTCTATATGCATTGCTTTGTCTCCTAAGTTCTTGTCTGGTTAGGGGTATCTTATTGGTCTGAATGCTCGAATTCTGCAGGAGTGGGGTTCTGATTGTGTTAAAGAGAGCCCTGTCAATTCTGCAACTGTGAAGTATACCGAGTTCTTGCTGGCAACAGCATCTGGGAAAGTTGAAGGACTAAAAGCTCCAGGGACACTTGCCACTCCATTTGAGAAAACCAAAATTGCAGCTTACACTCTAGGGGCAATGACACCTTGCATGAGGCTGTATGCCTTTTTGGGTAAGGAGTTTCAGGCACTTCTAGAATCCAATGAGCATGACCACCCCTACAAAAAGTGGATTGAGAATTATTCTTCTGAAAGTTTTCAGGTGTGGTATTGATAGCATTCATTGTTTGCAGTAGCCAACTTGATTACAGTCTCGGAGCTAAAATCTTTAGATAAGTTGCCCTTCAAATTCCATGGCTCAACTATTGATTCTTTGAATTTAGGCATCCGCTCTGCAAACTGAAGACTTGCTGGACAAACTTAGTGTCCCTTTGACAGGCGAGGAACTAAACATCATCGAGAAACTTTATCACCAAGCAATGAAACTTGAAACGGAGTTCTTCTATAGTCAACCGCTTACTCAGCCTACTATTGCTCCTTTGACTAAGGAGCATGACCCTGAACAATATCGTCTTATTATATTTTCTGATTTTGATCTTACTTGCACGGTTGTTGATTCATCTGCCATTTTGGCTGAGATAGCAATAGTAACAGCCCCAAAATCTGATCAGAACCAACCAACAGGTCAAATTGGTAGGATGTCGTCTGTTGAGCTGAGGAACACCTGGGGTCTACTTTCTGCACAATACACAGAAGAGTATGAACAATGCATAGAAAGCATTTTGCCTTCTGAGAAAGGTATTTAACTATGAAACTTTGCATAACGTGTAAATAGTTCCTTCACATCGACTTTGTACTTCCCGTGGTTTTACAGTGGAGTTCAACTATGAAGCTTTGCATAAAGCACTTGAGCAACTCTCGGACTTTGAGAAAAGAGCAACTCTCGGACTTTGAGAAAAGAGCAAATTCTAGGGTGATTGAGTCAGGTGTGCTTAAGGGTCTAAACCTTGAAGACATTAAACGAGCTGGTGAAAGACTGATTCTTCAAGATGGTTGCATTACCTTCTTTCAAAAAATTGCACAGAATAAAAGTCTCAATGCCAATATCCATGTTCTGTCATATTGTTGGTGTGGTGATCTCATTCGGACAGCTTTTTCTTCAGGTACGGTTGTTCTCTTTCAATGGCTTTCTTTCCACCATCTTCTAATTCCATCTTGTTAGTTGCTGTGAGTGCTTTCTCGAGTGTTGTGTGGTTTAATTATTTCATTTCTCTTGAGAAACTGTATGTCCAAATTTACTCTTTGACAGTCAATACTGACAGTAATTTAAAATAATTCATCAAATTTTTGGATCATCTTCCTTTTCATTCCTATTTTTCCCCCTTTTGTTCCCTCTACGTCTATTCTCAACAAGGTAACAATTGATGTTGTCGCTCCGATGGTTTTCTCTTGTCGCCGTCACCATCAAACGATTATTTTTCTCTCTTACTTTATCAGTTTAGATTCTCCCAAAACAACATGAAAAAATATAATTATCATTTTTTTGTTGTTCGGGGTTTCTCCTGTCGAAAAGACCAAATAATTCTTCCTCTTCTTTCTTAGTTTTGATTCACCTAGAACCTCCACAAAAGCCTTGACTTCTCCCAACTTTTCGGCCTAAAAATGTTCTGATCCAACGACAGTCAGATCGACCTCCTATCAAAATATGTTACTTCTTTCATTGTAGAAAAGCTTATCACCATTGGGATTTTGAAGGCGACCCTCTGATGGTCGACGACGAACCTTGGCTGAACTTGGATGGTTCTCTCCTCTGTTTTCTTTTCGTATTTCTTTGTTGCACGATATGGTGTTGTCGGGTGAATTTTAGGGTTGATGGGGTGTTGAGTTTAGGTTATTCTTCGTTGTTGTAGGTGGTTTTTTGGTTTGGTGGTCGGTGATCGAACGAAGGACTTGGAAGTAAGGAAACAATGTGTGAAGTGGTGATGATGATTTGGTGGCATTTATGTATTTTGCTAATTTCCATTTTAGAGTGGCGTGTACAAAGGCTTATAGGATGAAGTCTATTTTTGATGTGTAAATGTTGAAGTACGTTATGTTTCATGACTTTTGTGTAACAACTCTATATGATTAATGTGGCATTTGGTGCTTTAATGTATTTTCCATGTGGGACGAGGCATGATAGAATTGAATACGTTGCTATTTTTTGTTTTTAAATAGAAGTTGTTAGTTTTATTAAAAAGTGAAAATATCCAAAATTATAATAAAGGTTTACAACTATAATCGTAAAATAAATACATAATTTGAACATTTACCTATAACATTGAAACTAGCCACTTCAGATCGTATAAAGACCATACATGAAAAAGGTTAAAACACCCAAGCAAAAGACTTGAACAAAAAATATATATGAACAAATATGATTGCATTGACAAATGAACCACAAAAGATGATTAAGTTGTTAAAAGACCACCGAAAATCGCAATAGAACCAAGCGTCATGAGAAATTATCCACGAACACAAAATCACATATCTAAATTCAATTCGATGGTCCATAGCAGGGAAGATCAACAAAATTATAAATGAGCGCCATCTTGATTAGTCATGACATCATCAAATCCAACTCTGAGAAAACATAAAATAAAAAGAATGGCCAAACGACTAAGAAAAAAGATGAAAAACGTGTCACAAATACAGAATTATTCATATTAAAAAACTAAAAATGAAACAAAGAGAATAAAAGAACCGTTGGTCGGCAACCCGTATTAAAATCGATATCGTCAATGGCTATACAAAATCAAATAAGAAAAAATTGATCTAACCTATAAAAAACAATACAAACTCTAAAAAAAGCGGCATTTTGAAACATAATGCATTTTGATGCATGAACATGTGTTCCGTATTCATTCTTTTTCGTTAAATAATTAACGGTCGTCTAAGTTGGATGTTAACATGTTGATTGGGATATAATAAAATTATATTTTAATGATGTCTATTGCACTGTCGCTACTTTCAAGCACTGACTCGACAACATAATGTTTCAAGCACTGGCTTGACGACATAATGTAAACAAAGATACGATCCACAAAATATAACTCAAACAATTATGTGATCATATTTTATCATATCTCAATGAGCAAGTTAACGTCCAGTTCAGACGGACGTCAATTTTTTAATAGAAATGACGAGTTTAGAATATATGCATAGTCAATGACTATTTTATAACCTTTAATAGTCGGAAAATTCAACAAAACAGTTCATTGTAATCGAGGGACTCAATAAAACAATGTCTTATAATCGAGAATCATTTGTGTACTTTACTCAAAATTTTATATTAAATCAATATGAATATTGTAAAATTACAACAAACCTCCATTTTCTTGGAATTAAGGGACCCTACAATTAGCTGGTTCACTATTGATTCCCACTCTTATAAAATTATAAAATAGTGTCTTTAATTGAATTAATTTAATTTCTTATTATTACAATTTTGTTTTTAATATAACAACCCAGTGAAGTTGGCATTCACATGTAGGTGGACCTTTGTGCTTATTTTTCATTTATGAAATAATTTTATTATTCACCCCTCGATTATAAATAAATAAATGTATATCATATAATTATCTGTATACACGTTAATAAGGTTAATATTCGATACGAAAATATTATATAATTTAACCGACACATCACTTACGTATAAAATTATTATTTTTTAAATCAAGTAAAGAGATATTATGTTTAAATAAGGGTAAAGTAAACAAATGATCCCCTGATTATATGATACCATTTTATTGAGTTATCAATTTTAAAAGTTATAAAGTGATCATCAACTATAGAGAGTTACTTTGTTGAGTTCATCGACTATTAAAAGTTAAAAATGTCACCCGACTATTCATTATGTTTCAAACTCGTCATTTTCTGTTAAAAAATTAACGATCATTTGAGTTGGACGTTAACATGCTGACTGATATATGATAGTATTTGAGATTATGAGATCATATTTTATTATATCTCAGTCAACATGTTAACTTCCAGCTTATACCGTTGTTAATATTTTAACAGAAAAGGACAAGAATATAATGAATATCGAGTGATCATTCTATAATTTTTAATAGTCGAGGAACTCAACAAAATAACTACAGTCATAGACCATTAAACAACTTTTAATAGTCAAAGCCTTAACAAAACATTATTAATCAGGATTTGTACCTACGTAAGATAATATAAGTATCCTTATCAGTCAAACATTTAATGAGTATACATCGAATATAAATTCTCTCTATATATTAGTCTATCCAGTATCTCTGACTGTTCTCTCTCTCTAGCTTTTGATATCTTCTTCTCAATTATTTTTCTGTTTACATTTTTAGTTCTTTTAGGGTTTTAACTGGTACATGTTGGATGAAGGAGAAGGAGACGATGATCATGGAATTACCTACAGAGTCGATGATCAATGGTATTATTATTCTTGTGCAGTTCGGTCAAGAGTTTTTGAGATTGAGCCATGGGCTTAAATAATTTGGAGAAAATGAAGAAGATGGCTTCGAGGAAATCTTATCCTCTAGGCAAGTCTAATATGCTTGGCTTATCCTCCCTATTTGTTTTCTTTTTGCTGTTTGGTTACTGAGAAAATGAAAGGTATCATATGAATAAGATTTGGAATCTTTGATTTCGTGTAAGATTTCCATGGCTTCTCTTCTTTGAAAACTATGCCTTTTTAGCAGCCATAATAGCTATAATTCAATGGTAGAATTAGATGAATATCAGCGCAGAGAAATAATGTAAAGATAAATGTCATGATATACTCACGAGTTTGTTGGTAATCATAGTCTTCTAAATTTTTTAAATTTTATATAATTTAATTTTTTATGTTTTATATTTATAATTATTTATCTTTTAATTTTTTTTTTTATATTTTTTAAATTTATTTATTTAATATAAAATTTTATGTTTTCATAAATTTATGAGAAGAATCTACATGTACTTAGGAGGGGATGTTTCCCTCCCAAATTTTTAGTATAATAGTATTTTAGATATTTTATAATTTAAATATAATTAAACAAAATCTTTGTCCCTCCTAATTTTTAAATTTAAATATTTAATAAATCATATTTTTTAATATAAAACTATTTTTATTTTTAATTTTGATTCCAACTCGTTCTTGCGTGGTTCCTGCAGCATGAATTAATAGGTGCAAGTTCTAAAATAACATGAATTGCAGCTTCACCTTGTTATTCAAGTTTTAAGTTTTATTTTATATTTTATTTTATATATATATTTAAATATTTTTTTAATTAATCAGATATCCGATCTATTGACCTACTAATCTAATTCGGGTATTACAGAGACGAGGGCGACCCTCTCAACCCAATTTGCTCCATTCGCAAAAAGTCAAAATTTAAACCCCTAACCTTACTTAAAGGACCTAATGTCTTATCTTACTATTGATCTAGAAAATATCTTTTATCATTAAAATAAAGTACAAATAATTGTCAAATTTAATCACTTTAACTTTAGGATAAGGATTCCACTCTTTTAAAGTTTAGCCGCCCGCCAGGTGTCTTTATCATAAACATCCAAAGCAAAATAATAATAATAATAATAATAATAATAAAAGTAAAAGGTAAATCGAAAAAATATTATTAATAATTTAAAATATTTTGAAATGATTATAAGAAAATATTTATTTTTAATTTTATTTAGTTATTGATAACATATACACCTTACAAATATAACTGTTTAAACTTAAAATTATAAAGGTGAACAATACTTTCTCTAACTACTACATCAATTCAATAGTATATGTTTATTTACTTACGAGTGTTGGTACAAATGATTGAGATTCAAGAATTTGAGCTTATAAGGTCAAGTTCAGATCCTACCACCATCACTCTTAGTGAGTAATTTGTAAATTCCTATGCAAAACTCAATTGTCTTAGGTATGTTCTGACCCTAAATTGAAAAACTACCCCTTATCTAAACTTTTATATATAAAAAAAGAGAAGTATTTTTTCTATAATATAAGTTTAATCCCTAACTATGGATTATACAATTAGAAATCAAACTATATAG